GCCCGCTCAGCTTCCGCCCCGCGCTCTCCACCCCTCTTCCCCGCAGCCCCGAGGCCAGCAGCGCGCGCAGCCGCAGCCCCGGAGCCATGGCGAGGTCGCAGCGCCGCCGGTGCCTCTGGGTGTGCGTGGCCGCGGCGCTGGCGGCCTTCCCCGCCGGCTTCCTGCTGGGTGAGTGCGGGACCCCGCGAGCCGGGTGGGGATGCGCGGGGTGCTGGCCGGGGCGCTGAGCTCGGGAGCGAGGCCGCCTGGGGTCCCTAAGGGGGAGACTGGATCCCCCAGTCACAGGGCACAGCAGACTTTGGGAGCGCTTTGCATTGAATATGAGTATTTTATTATCTTTTAAAGCACCAAAATTTGTATATTTATGTATTAGGTACGTATAAGATCTGACTTTTGTTTGGGGAGGAAGTCCTTTTCAAAAGCGATTGTGTGTGTTTCCCTCAGGCTGGTTTGCCAAGCCTCTGAAAGATACAACCTCTACGGAGCGCTACCGTCAAAGTTTTCGAGGTAGACTAGTATCAGAAATGAAGGCAGACAGCATTAAATCATTTCTTCGGTAAGTTTGTTTCGCGTTTTTCATCCTAGAAGTAGGGTTTAAAGCGCCGCGGAGTCAAAAGTGTATTAAAATTGGTTATATCTGTTTGTGAAGACTTCGTGTGAAATGATACATAAAGCGTTCCTTTGTGGCTATTTTAAATCTCGTTAAGCCGCCGGCAGGGGGAAGATGTGTAACTTGTTACAGAAGTGTGTGTTGCTTCCTAAACTGCCTCTTCCAAAAATTTATCTGGCTGGCTTACTGAGATGTTTTAAATTCATGTAACGTTGGACTAGAACCGAGTTTTATTCTTTGTTTCTCATGTGTGGGTTTAATCAGCATATTTCTTCTTTTTTAAACACACTATGTTCTCTTAGGAAAAGTGAAGACATTGTAGACTCAGTGATGCAATGAAAAAGGGCAACGTTTCAGATTCCGGCAGCTACAAAGTTGTTTACAGATATAGGACACAGGAAAAGGAAAATGATCAGCGCACACCCTCCTGCTTCTAAGCATGGTGACGAGTGATACTTGGGGAAATGTTTATAAACTTTTTAAAAAAATGTATTTATAACAGCGTCTACAGGGTCTCACTACACAGATCACTACATAATGATCCTCCTGTTTTCAGCATCCCAAGAGCTGGGGTTACAGGCGCTGGACACCACGCCCAGGCTCAATTGCTATCTCAACCCATCCTGGGGGCGGGGCCAGCACGGCAGGCCTGGGATTGAACCTATCAACTTCTTAAAGCAGTTGCCATAACATTTATTTCTGTGTGTAGACTTTCCATTGGGGTTCCATTTTTTGAAAAATCAGCTTCCCTGAAATATGACTTTCATAAAATAAACGGCATGTCTGATAGCAACAATTTGAGAGTTTTTACAGAGTGCGTAATGTATTCAGCAAGCCATCTCCTCAATTAAGACACAAAATAATCCACTGTGTACTTTTCGGCTTATTTGTCCCTTTAGCTGTGGACCTAGAAATTAATAATCAGTTTTATGTCACTATAGATTTCTTTGCATTTGCTAGATTTTATATAAATGGAATCCTAGCTTGTGGCATATCTCGTCTGGCTTTCTTCACTCAGAATAATAATTTTACAATTCATCCAGTTTGCTGTATATGTCATTACTACATTATTTTTCATTACTGAGTAATACTGCATCATGTGGGTATACTATGATGTAGTTGAAGGGCCTTTGGCTTTTATCTGTTTTTTTTTTTTTTACTCTGGTGAGTGAAGTTTATACAAATATACAGTAAGTTTTTGTGTTTTTATGTCTCTTGGCATAACTGAAAGGTACACATGTGTTAGGGGTGTGTGTGTGTGTGGTGCAGGAGTCAAACCCAAGACACGTGTGCTAGGCAAAGGTTCTGTCTCTGAGCTACATCTCTAGTCCTCCTTCCGTTTTTAAGAAAATACAACGAGATGTCCAATGTGGTTGTGCCGTTTGGCAGTCTGCCCATCGTGAGTCTAGGTGTTCTACACCCTGATCAATGTTTTGTATTCTCAGTTGTTTTAATTTTAGCCAGATTAATTTTATTTACTCTCTGATACTACTGGTGAGTAGTGGTTTCCCACTCTGGTTTTGATTTGATTTGCATTTTCCTGATGACTAATGATGTTAAGGATTTTACGTGCCTAGTAAACATCTGAATACCTTCCTTTCTAAAGTCCCTCTGTTCAGACACTTTTTATTATGTGTTCTGGAAATAAGCTATTTGTCAGGCATAGGGATTATGAACTTCTTGGGTGGTTAGGCATTTTGTTCTCATAGTGTTTTTAATTTTTATTTTTTGGTGGTACCATGGATCGAACTCAGGACCTTGTACTTAATCCACTGAGCTATCGCCCCTAGCCCCAATCATAATGTTTTTAAAGGCCAGAATTTTTAAAATCCCAATAAAGTCTATTTGATTAAATTTTAAAACTTTTATACTTTCTGTTATATCTAAAAATTTTCTTCACATTCTTTTACAAGCTTTACAATTGAAGTTTGTACATTTAGTTCAACGACCTACTTGAAGTTAATGTCTGTGTATGGTGTAATCTAAAGTTAATGATATCCTTAAATACAAATATTCAATTAATTATGAAAAAAACTTGTTTAAAAATATTTTGTTTCCTTAAGATTTTTTTTTTTTTTTCCTGAGCAAGGTGGCACACACGTGTAATCCCAGTGCTTGGGAGGCTAAGGCAGGAGGTCATTGTGAGTTTAAGACCACCTGGGCTGCATAGTGAGTTCAAGACCAGCCTGAGCTAAATGGTGAAACCCTGCCTCAAAATCAAAACAACAAAATAAAATAAATGCTAAAACATTTCTTAAACATTTTTTTTATTATTTATTAAAATAATTTCCTGCCTCTTCCTTTCTCTGCTGAGACTAGTTAAACCCTAGGGATCCAGAGGCAGCGTGAGGCACGCATGCTCTGTAACATGCGCTCCTCATTGGATTGTGGTCTGCTGATCACAGAGCTCGATACCAGTTTCCATGCATGAACTGGAAGGATTTTTTTTTTTTTTCTTCTCCCAATGCCTTCAGGGCAAGTTTGGCTGGCTTGAGTTGTGGGGATCAAACCACAGCAACCTGAGCCTGACTGCTTTGTTGAAGCAGCCACTTAAAGAACTGAGCTAAGGGGCAGGCCCCCACCATGCATGAACTAGAGTAAGCCGTCATATGGAGGAAAGAAAGGAGCTACATGTTGCATTATGTACGCAGTGTGGCAAAACACAGACTTCTATGTCAAGTGAGATAAAATATTTTTATTTAAATTAATGTAACTTAAAAGTTCAGGTAAGAGATTAATACCACTGAACTCTGCAAAGCACAAAGTGTCCAAGTGAAAGTATCCAGAAAAATACATGAGGAATCAGACATAAAACTGTGATCCTCTTGACCAAACCTTAATCCTAAGTGTCTATTTGTATTATTTTCTGTGATGTTACATAACTATAGCCCGATAAATGACATATGAGATGATTACGTGCCTTCTTGTGGTTGACTTTGCTTTGCTTCCAGCTGAATGCAGAATTCATGCACCAAGAATGCTGACAAGAATGAGGATAGGGAGAGGTATGGTGCATTAGGGGCTTCACCTTTGGGGAATGAGGGACCCCAGTTTTGTAAATGTCTGTACCTAGAAGACGTAATAAGCAGTGGATTTTGCTATATTAAGCCTCAAAAAAGCTAATAGTTTTGAAAGAAGAAGAAGGAAAAATGTTAGAGCGAATAACAATAATTAGGGCATCTGGTTGACCTTCTAGCTCTGAGCTGTGTCTTTGGAAAGGACTTGTAGTTGAAGTGGGGTCTCAAAGACACGGGCTAAGGCAGCCATCAAGCAAACCCTCAGAGAGTAGTCTGAGGATATTGCAGGAAATTGCTGAGCATGGATCTAAGGTATTTATGATTATAGAAATTAATTTAGGTAGGCACAGAGAGAGGCCAAGACGGCATGATTAGCTGTGGGGACACTTTGATTTCTCCGAAGCTCTTACAAGCAGCGTGTCGACTGTGTGCCTTCCTGCAGTGGGGCATACGCTCCTTCCTCTCTCTCCTCCTGGAAATCTCTTCACCACTCCCTGAACCAATCACTCTAATTCTTTTCTTTCTAAAATGATTGGTTTGGCCGGGGAGATGGCTCAGTGGAATAAGTGCTTCCCTGGCAAGCGCAGAGGCCTGAGTTCAATCCCTGGTTCTGCCAAAAAAAAAAAAAAAAGATTTAAAATTATGGGGCTGGTGAGATGGCTCAGTGGTCTAAAGCACCTACTTAGAACAAGCTTAGCAAAGTACAGGGACCGCGGTTCAATCCCCCAGCACCACATGCCAGCCAGCCCCGCCCCCTGGTGGGCTGAGCTGGCCACACACACACACACACACACACACACAAATAAATAAAATTAAAAAAAAAATAAAATGATTGGTTTAAGAAGGGATGTAGGACCCAGTGATGTCTAATGAAATAGGAAGAATTGATTTTGGTTTTTGGTACCAAGAATCAAACTCAGGACCTCCAGCTTGCCAGGCAGGTGCTGTGCCACTGAGCTATTTCTGGCCTGGGAACGATCTGAAGAGATCTTCTACAAAGTGTTTCTCTTTGTTAAAAGAAGCATGCAAGAAGGAACAACTGTATTTGTGCGTGCTATTTTGCTTCTGAATTTTCCAAGTTAATATGTGATCTCCATCTTTGATCGTGAGGAGAAATTTAAATGTAAAACAATACTATATTCTGTTCTCTCTTTTTCCCCTTCATTTCTGTATTTCTTTTCTTATTTTTATTTTATTTTATTTTTTTAATTCAACACAGGGTCTACAGGGTCTATAGTATCTCACTATGTAGATTGGACTCCTAGTGATTCTTCTGTTTTCAGCCTTCCAAGTGCTGGGATTACAGGTGCGTGCCACCACGCCCAGTCTCAATCACTGTCTCAGTGCGCTTTAGTCCGCTTTTAGTCCGCTGAGCTATCTGGACCTTCATTTCTGTATTTCATTTTAGTGAATTCTCTAAAAGATGGGAGTTAAAAGTTCATAGTTAGCACAGGGCCTGCCTGGCAAGCACAAAGTCCTGAGTTTAATTCTTGGTATCTCCCAAAAGAAAAAAGTTCATAATTGATTCCACACTTCACTTTAAGGAAATATCTTTATTTCCTCTAATTATAAGAATATTAATCTTTTGTTGTAGGAAATAAAGTAATGAAATATGTAATGCAGAAATTTTATAGCCCCATTTTACTGCTTTTCTTTTAGGTATATAAAATAACTTAGCTAGATACATTAGTACTTTTTTATTCTTCTGTTTTTAATCTTCTGTTGTCACTTAATGATTGTGAGAGGGTAAGCGTCACAGAGTAGATGATGTCTGAGGAGTTCTTGTGGTGATTACCAGTTTGCAAACTGGAAAGGGTGCTGGAGGGAGGTTCCAGCGGGTGGTACAGTGTTGGTATAGTAGAAGGCATGTGTGAAGGCAAAGTGTGCGCGTGCGTGGTCATCTCAGGAGGTCAGTGTACTTAGCAACAG